ATCTATCTATCTAACTATCTATCTATCTATTTATCTATCTATCTATCTATCTATTTATTTATCTAACTATCTATCTATCTATTTATCTATCTATCTATCTATCTATTTATTTATCTATCTATCCATCAATCCATCGTCTATCCATCTATCTATCTATCTATCTATCTATCTATCTATCTATCTATCTATCTATCTATCTATCTATCTATCTATCTATCTTTCTATCTATCTATATATCTATCTATCTATCTATTTATCTATCTATCTATCTATCTGTCTATTTATCTATCTATCTATCTATATATATACATATATATATATATGTAATATACAACATATAATCTTACTTCTGTTAGTCTAACACGGTAGCTCACAACACGTGACAAATTAATAGTAATCACACCATATATAGGCGGGTCAATATATAAGAAACCGAAAATTAACCAAGACGATTATTGTCATTAATCGCAAATACAATGTATGTTGGCATTCGGGCATACACTTACCCGGCGGCATAGGCATAACTATACGTTGCAGTGTCGTTGCGTGGTCGTGATTACGCTTGGTCTATATGATTACACTCCTGATTATATAGTAAGGAACTCTCGTATTAGTCGCGCTACATTTATTCAGATGCTTTCTCGACATCGCGTCACCGCCGCCGTTTTGCTGGCATTTGAAATAAGCTGGTATGTAAAGGTTTATTATGTACGGGTTTAATGAAGTCTAATACGATATTAAGCTCACAAGTGCTGTACGCGACCGGGTAATTTGTGTTCCGACAAAACGACATTCCTTTCCAGGATGGCGATTTCAGGCATAAATTAATGAGAGCGGGCGTGGGCGTCTGTGTGTGCGCACGGGCGTGTGCGCGCGCGCGTGCGTGCGCGTGTGCGTATGCGTGTGTGTGAGGGTGCGTATATGCATGTATACGTGTGTGTATATGTGATTGTGTGTATATACGTGGGTGTGTGCGCTTGTGCGTATACGCATGCGCGTATAAATTACTTGCTGTGTGTGTGCGCGCACGTGTTTTAGTGGGTATGAGTAGATCGAAAATGGTGCGTTGGGCGGTAGAGAGGAGATTATACTCGGAGTATATTATGCGTGCGTATAGTGTAAACACACAACTCGCCTTGTAACCAGCGAACCCCTCTCACACACTCAGACCCTCTGTCGCTGTACGGCGCTACAGAACGCGAAAGCTCCCCACACCTGGCGACAACAACACGCACACAGAATCACACGTACACGTAATCTCCGAAAATGGACGCACACGTGCCTGTTTAGGCCATTACGTATAATTAGATGCTTGGCGACGAATTTAATTTTCAGGTAGCAGGTGCCGGTGGCATTAACAGCTCGTGGTTTGCATGCTGCGACACGCTCATCACGGTGCTATGCTCATCCCTCTCCGGCTAACAATTAGCGCCTGTCTCCTACTCAGCACGCCATCAGTGCGTCTTCCTCTAAGTATGTCTAGTCCCCACGGCAGCGCT